CTCTCTCTCTCTCTCTCTCTCTCTCTCTCTCTCTCTCTCTCTCTCTCTCTCCAGTACCTAGCACATAGTAAGTCCTAGAAGAAAATTTTAAATTATATAAGGAATCAGTGGGTGGTGCTTTCTCCATACAGTAAGGTAAGGCCCTCTTGATAAGTCTACATTTTAGTGAAAACATCTAAAAGCTGTTTCTTTTCTACGACTCTGTTTTCTTCTGGGCTGCTTTGAGGGTTATAGTTAGCTATAGCTCATGCCTTATTATTATCCTCTCCACAAATATCTTTGTAAATAAGACAGTCATTTCCTTAATAAGCTCAACATATCAGTCTAACCTACTTATTAAGGCACCTTGACAGTTTTCAGGTGTTATAGTCTAAAGAAATTTGGAAAGTATTGGAACAGCTGCATTATGAGAACGGAGCAGTAGTGATGCAGTTTAAAGCACACACCTTTTCAATAGTTAAACCTGATTTGTTTGTTTCAAACTCGTTCTGATTTGTGGTTTAAGAGCCTTTGTGGTCCTTCAGTTCCCATGGCAATCTTATGTTTGTGTGAGTTCGTAGGTAGTTAACGGAGCCAAGTAATTAAAGAGAGGAAAGTACTTTGTTTTAAACAAGGAAGAGTAAAAACCTACCTGATGTTATCAGGTGTAGCCAGCTGTCTGTGATGTAAAATAGTGAGTCAGTGGCTTCCTGTGTAATTGGAGCCTCTGTTCATTGGTTGGCCATCAAGCACAATATTAAGTTGTAAAAGGCCTACTCTGGTTTATAGTTAGCAAATTCACTAGCTAACCCCTATAAAGACAGTCAGGTTATGATGGGCTAGAATGGCAATCTTTTTGCTTTAGGGCAACTTTGAATTTCAGGGGAAAAAATGGAATGCTCCACGTAAGTGAAAGTCAACATATTTTTAAAAATTCTGATATAAGGAATATGAAACCAATGAGTAATAATATTCGCTGTTTATTTTTATATATAATGTCACTGCATTTGCTCCTCATAGCTACTCTGGGAGGTAGGTGGGGCAGGTGCTATTTTTTATTTCCCCTTTGTGGATACAGGCTCTGAGTGATGTAACTGCCCATGGTCTCCCCTGGGTGCTTAAGGGCCCAGGCAAAAACACAGGCAGGTCTGCCCCACATTCCTTTGTCTAACCACCATTCCACAGCACCACTTAAATAATTTGAAATCCTCACTTCAAATAGATACTGTGACCACTTAAGCTGGAGAGAGTGTGGACAGAGTGAAGGTAAAGGGAAGAAGGTTTGGAGGGATAAACAAGACAAGACCCAGTGACAGAGGGAAAAAGAGAAGGCGGGTCAGGAAAACAGGAGCTGAAGAGCTGGCATGGGGCTCTCACAGGTTACAGGGCAAGTGTCCTGGTGGTCACACCCTCCGAAGCACTGGGATGGCATTTGTAGCTACGCTACATAGTCCTTTAGAAATTTTTTTGCTTTTGCTTTTGGTTCATTATGTAAATAGCCTATCTGCTGTGTTTTCACTCTTTGAAGTTTTTACCTTTTTAATGTTTTTAAATTTTTAATGTTTCTTTGGTCCATCCTTTCTCCTTTCCTTTATTTCTTTTACTCGTCTTTATTTTTGTGTGGAATGAAGTAAAATGAATGTGTTTTAAATGAAATGAGTTTTAGGAATGCACCCCAGAAGTTTATATTTAGTCAGTTTTTCTCTTTTGTCTAATTCTTTTTAACCTAATTTAATTTTTTTCTATCACCATTTATGCACCCATACCCTCTTCCACCCCGCCTCCCTGGTATTATTCTATTTAAGAGATTTTTCAACGATCAGAGAACATACACTGCTACTCTAGGGACAGAAAATCCATTTTTCAACAATGACCTGACCTGACCATCATAAAGTAAAATTTTCAATATAAATATCAATCTAGCTTTCCTTCATTCTGTATTAGAAAGTCAGGAGACTTGGGTTTTTGTACAAATGACCTTTTAGGTTTAACACTACCCTGCAATAGGGCTTTATAAGCACTTTTGTTTTCCTCTGCCATGAACTATCCAGTGATATCACCTTTGCTCCTGTTAACTTGAGAAGATGTTCTGAAATATAATTCTGAGAATGAATACATGTACAAAAACAGGCCCATTTTGTTTGTACAACCTGAATTAGCTCTGTGTTCATCCAATTAGGACTCAAATACCTAAAAGGGGTCAAATACCTTTTCTGGTGGTATTCTTTAGTTCTAAGCATTACTATTGCGTTTTAGTCCTATAATCCTACCAATTCCAAATCCTGAATTGACTTTTTTCCCAATGATAGGTAACATGATAGGTAAAGATGCCATACACACCCATATTCTTTTACTTAGTGGAAACTGGGAGAGAAGGTAGTGGCCTAAAGCTAGAGGATTCGATTCTGGAACACAGTGATTTATGATACAGGTGAGCTAGAATAGCTGAGGCCTAGTTCCAGTTCTTTGACCATGTGTTTGTGTGAATTTCAACAAGTTGCCAGTCCCCTGTGTGCCCTTGATTTCCTAGTCTCCAAGTGGGAATGGGACAAAAGTTTTAGCTGAGAAATCTTTTCTTTTTCCTCCAAATTCATCTTTATTATGTAAGCCTCAAATGTAAATAAGACTAAGGAAAGCTGTCCTGATTGTTTTAGCAGTAGCCTCATCCTTAAACCTGTCATAATATGAAAGTCAGTGGGCTAATCATTTTTAGGATACTTTCAGTTATAAATGTATGGAGGTCTGTCTTACAGCAGAAATAATAATCTAAGTTACTTTCAGTAGGAGAATCTGCTTGCTCAAAAACTTCAAATTAATAGGACCAAAAAATAAATTCTCTTCAGTCAAGTGTATAATGCCTTGTAGTTTGGTGTTTGGCTGCTCTGATCGGTAGGATGTTTACTTAGCACTTTGATCAGAAGGAAGGGAAGACAAGCACCCAGTAATTTAAAAAATTTTAAAAGTCAGCATAATCTTATGTACAAGTCAGGTGACTCTTAGGACTGTATCAGTGACAGAAAGAAGGCATTACGGCCTTTCTAATATAGTAATTTATTTTTATACATAACTTTTTGGTAGTTTATATAAAGATATGTTTGCTTATACATTTGCTTACTTAAGTTGCACTATTTTTTCTTACCTAGGCTGAATCATAGGCCAGCTTTATGAAATGGGAGAAGATTTAAGGCTTCTCCCCTTTCACATACAAAAGGTTAATTTCTCCCCAAACAAAGCAAGGAAGCCAAAACAAACACAAAAGAGAAGCTTTGCCAAGGCTAACCTTTGCCTCAGACTGTACAGAGGTAAAGCTTTTATGTCCTAGAAGACAAAAAGTGCTTAACATTTAGACAAATTGAGGAGTTGCACAATATTCTAGCTTAAAGAGGATCACTTGGTTTTCTTTGCAGTTTTATGAAGTCTCAGGACATTGGACATTTTTCTTAAGTATAATGTATATTGAAAAATCAATATGGCTGTTCAAAATAAGTCAGACAGAGAAAGAAAATGCTGTATATCATTTACATGTGGGATCTAAAAAAGCCAAACTCCTAGGAACAGACTGGAATGGTGATTGTCCCGGGCTTGGGGGTGGGGGAAACTGGGAGATGTCCGTCCAGGAGCACAAGATGAGGAAGTGCCAAGGATCTGACCCACAGGCGGGGGTAATAATTAATGTTACTGTATCACACACTTGAAAGCTGCTAAGAGAGGAGATCTTAAATGTTACCACCACAAAAAAGAAATGTCATTTATGTGATGTGATATAGGTGTTTGCTAACACTTTGGTGGCTATCATTTTGCAATATATGTGTTTCAAATAAACGCATTTTACACCCTACACAGTTGCATGTCAAATGTACCCCAATTAAGCTAAAGAAAATAAAATTGGAGAATTTGCTAAGAAATTTCAATGTGATTAAAGTGGCTTGATACCCATGCCCTAATTTGGAATCTCAAAACAAATTTACCTCATACTGTGACTATCCTACAAATATTAGAAAATTGAGATGATTAAAAATCTCTGACCCTCTTTATACTACTTATAGTTTACTCTGGATAACTAGAGCCATATGCTATGCATTTGTTTCTTCTTGAATTTATGAGTTGACAATTCATGAAATAAAATATTTCAGATTCTTCAGAAAAACTTTACAGCCAAACCTCAGAAGAATCGCCAGCTGTCAGACAGGATTCGCTGAGTAGAAGTCAGGCTACCCTAGATTCCTTTAAGGCCTCACATTCGAGGAGCCCCTGTGGAATTGAACCGAGGTAGGTTATATGTGCCCATAATGCATAGTAACAATTTTGACAAGCCCCAACCAATTCTCTTTACTATATAAAGAAAGATTGTCCTCATGTGGGTACTTATATGGCCATTCGTGCAAAATATTTGTGTTCTTTGCTGACCTATTATCAGGATTTAGTAAAAGGCTTATGAGGATGTTACTTTAATATGAAGAGATAATTCTCTGCTGGAAAACATATGTCAGAAAAATAAAAAAAAGGGGTTTAATAATCCTTCAGCATTTATTTTTAAATTGAAAAACAGCTGCCTTACTTTCATTAATTAACCTAATAAATTTTAAAACTTTGCATTAATAGAATCTTACCCAATGTGAATACAATTTTCAGAATGGAATATTGAGAGGTTTCTTTCTTGAAATTGAGTCCAGGCTGTTAATGATAGCGCATTTTAATTTGTTATCGTTTCACTCTTTCCTCATGTAAGGTGAGCGCTTTTAGGGATGGTAATCAGTTTATAGGGAACATGGTTTATACTAATAAATGCTTAAGAAATGCAGTTTATCACGTCAGTCTACTATTGACATACTGGAATTCCTTGAAAAAGGAGGAGGGTTTCTTGTAGGTTTAAAAGTGTAAATAAAAGACTGTTATATTGTAAGTTCCTTTGATTGGTTTGAAGGTTAATATTGCGGTAAAAGGAAATCAAGAGTGTTGCCCTCTTTTTTTCTGAAAGAAGAAATAATTTAGCTGTGTTTCTTGGATTTTTGCATTTCTAACACTACTTAAAATTTATTTTTAAAAAGGGTAAATCTAAAATGCTATTTTTTCCCCCTAAAAAATGAAAAACAAAGTAACTAAACCTATGACTTACTATCACCATCCTTTCATAAAAGAAAGGACATTTAATAAAAAATATAAGGGGAACACATTAACAGAATAAAACACAGTGCTTTACAATTAAGAATGTCATGAAAAAGTCATTACCGGTGAAAATTATCGCAAATCTCCCCTGGTTCACAGATGAGAGTGTAGGCTCTGCTGATTTAGCCTGTGTTGGACACAAGAAAAGGATCCAAAGAACACTTACAGCTCTCATGGAATGTTATGCATGTATTTTATATTATTTAGGGGCATACATGGCTGACTATCAAGATAACTTAGACCAAAACATCTGAGTTGTGCAGGCTCCCTTCTGTTCCCCACTCTACCTCATTTCTCAAAACCTAGAACCCTACACACGAGAGCCTCCAACAGAGCTTCCTCTCCACCATGATACACACAACAAAATAGAACAGCTCAATAATTGTCATTAATTTTGGTTTTGGCATATCTTGACTGGCTATCCACATAGTCCTAATTTACTGTACACAAAAGACGTGATTTATCTGGCAGTCTACATTCACCGGGATTCTATTAACCAGCCAGTGTAATGATGAATGTCCTTAACGATGACCCCGAGGCTCAGCAAGCTTCTGAAGTGCCTTCTGAATCATCAGGGAGAGACACAATCAGAGATTGTAAAATCTTCTCTCCTTGGTACCACTGTGGCTTTATTTCCTGAGAGGGGGAGAATGATGAGGATTTCTCGTTAAAAGGAGGCTTGGTGTATTGGGCACGTTGAAAATGACTGCCCCGGCCTGAGGCAGCCCTCACACCTGCTGCCTCCCCTGACTTCTGTGGCTGTAGTATTGATCAGAAGATAAATGAAGAGGCGCAGCCTGGGTCTGTATATTGTGTATTGATCTTTTAATGTATTTCCAGCTTTTCTGAAAAAGATACCGAAATTCAGTCTTTCCTGACACTTTGTGAGAGCGGCACAGATGAGGAGGAGACAGACTTTCTTGACGAGCAGCATGTCATCACACTGCCGTGGCCACAGAGTACCTAAGGATCATTTGCGCATTGCTTTTTACTTTTTGTACCCAAAGGAAATGGGAAAAGTTAACAACTAAAAAAAATAACCAAACAGTCACTTATCCAGGTGTGGGAGATTTTCATTATTAACGTGTCTGATATTTCAAGGTTTGCAGACTAATAAAATGTAGTAAAATTATAAGTTTGAGGACTTTTTTCCCCCAAATGATATATGGTGTGTCAAGTAATCTATATTGCAGATCTTATTAGTAAAATTTGGTGAGTTTAAAAAGATAGCAGTTATAACTGTGTCCACAGAACCTACCATAGGCTAAAACATAATTACATTTAAAGTCCTATTTGTCAAATTATATTTTAAATACGTCATCAGTAAGAGTGTACATTTGAGGGCCAAGTCATACTTGGCAGTATCATCAATGTGTCTGGGATCTGTTTTTTACTTTGGTAATGATAGGGTTTTTGTTTTGTGGTGTGTGTTTTTTCTGTTAGTGTTTTGGTATTTATAGAAGTTCTGATAGCTTCAAAAGTTGCAGCTAGAAAACAAAAAAGGACCCAAAATGAAGTGGAAATAATACTTATTCTCTGTTCTAGTGAAGCAGAAAAGATCCCCAAAGCATCTTACTTCAGGAGGGCCAGTGTGATGGTTAATTTTGACTAGGCTATGGTATCCAGATATTTGGTCAAACATTATTCCAGCTTTCTCTGCAAAAGTGGTGTTTTTTTTGGTTTGTTTGTGTTTTTTTAGATGCGATTAACATTTAAATCAGTAGATTTGAATAAAGCAGATTTCCCTCCAGTCTCATTCAATCTGTTTGAAAGCCTTAAGAGAAGAAAGACTCGGGTGCTCCAGGGAGGGGGGAATTCTGCCTTCAGGCTTCCTCTGGACTCCAGTTGCAGCATCAACTCTTCCTTGAGCCTCCAGACTGCCCGCCTGCCCTGTTGATTTGGACTTGTTAGACTCCACAATTAGTTCTTTTTTTCTGGAGAACCCTGACTACTACAATCACTTTGAAAAGTGATCGTGGTAGCTAATGAAAATAACAGATATGGAAGTATTTTGCTCGTCTTGGGCAGTACTAGATACTTGGGTTAGTGGGTGTTCAGTGTTTTATAGGAACTTGTGATTCAGGGTCTCAAGAGCAGAAGAAGACATGGAGAGAGAGTTTTACAGATTCTTAGAATGGCTTCCCCGTAAGGAGTTTGTGAACTTACCAGAAAAATATCCCTGCAGTTGGTTGTGCCATCATTTTGGCTTCTCTGATTCTGGATAGGAACCTCCTATAAAAGACTGATGGTTGAGTGTAAATTCATCTCTGATACTCTTTCCATGGCATCAATAAATTGTACTGACATCCACACATCATTTACTGACAGGATAGAAAATGACGAAGAGACCTATAGCCATTTCTATGTCTTTTCTTCTAAAAATGCCCTTTATTAAAAGTGATTAACATAAGTGAACAATAAGCAATCAGCAAAGCCAATCACACCATGAGAATAAAATTTTTCAAACGAAATATCTTAAAATTAAGAGTGTGACTCCCCTGTAATTTTTACTGTCTTCTGAGCACTTCCTCTATCACAATCCCGTAGAGAGACAACAATGAGTCACCCTTGAATTTTCATCATTTATCTCAAAAGCCCTTCTGGCATCTTGTCCCGAGGCTGCTAGCTTTCTGAATTTTATTATCTGTAGCTGAAATGGGGATTGCCTGTTCAAATATGTTATTTTTCTTTTTAGCATGTTTGCTCAGGTTTAACGTTTCTTGACTCTGCCTACACTCCTTTGCTCCGAGACATCATCCTTATACTTCTGATGAAGAAAATGGTTCCTCTGGATGCAGTTTATAAAACTTGTGTTTTTCTTAGACGAAGTGGAAGGAGATGTGTTTCTATTCTCATTAGAGAAGTAGGGCCACTAGTATTCTTTGTGTTTTTAGTCATAGCTTCAGCCTTTTAAGAACTAGTTCAGAAATACATTTTATAAGGTGCCACTGCCTTTTACAACATAAGAATTTTGAAATAAGAAACTAAGCTGATAATTAGTTGTCATCAGTGGATTTCTGGCCAGAATTTGAGATAAAGAGTGTACTGTTGACTCTGTCATTTAACTTCCAATCTGGCATTGAAATTAAACATGAGGGTCCTCTGTGCAGAGGAGAGTAGACCCCCTTCTGCCTTTATTTGCTTCCCGTAACCACACATTTAGAAATGTTCTTTAATTCCTTTGCCATTAGTATAATGAGGAAATAAAAACTAAATAAGATTAGAGCCTTTGCCTGAAGCAGCTGCAATGTGTTCTCTCATTTTGAAGCTCAAGTTTAAAATTACTGTTTAAGGCATGCATCTAGTTCTGACTGTGGAATTGAGTTACAGACACTCCAGAAAAATCACAACCATGTTCCTGATACTAGAGTTAGTATGGTGTGCCTCTCAAAACTATTGGACAGACAGCCATATGATATTACATGCATGTTGGAATTTAGTAGCTTATATTCAGATTTGCCTGGTGGTGTAATAGCCATATGGAATTCTGTAATTTTACAGCTCCAAACACACACATGGTGGAAACAAATTGACATTAAATCATATTTGATAGTTCTAATCTGTTTGATATTTGTTGAAGTCCTTCACATCTAGTGCACTCTACTGTGTCACACAACACAGGCTAGGGGTGTACTGACCTTAAGACCCCTTAATGTTGTGCCTTACCAGTGTGGTGGACAGAAAACTCTTTTTGGACAAATGAATGTTACAAAATGGCTCCATCTCTGTAATAGCACACTCAGATACTTTGAATAATGTCTTGATTCATAAAACAACAACAAAATTATCTTTATTCCTATGAATCAGTTGTTGGAAAGCTCTTGAGCTCTGCTTATTTCATCTTGTTTTTGGCCACATGCTATTTCTCTAAGGTCTCAAAACATGCCTGCTCAATGGGCCTTTCTCTACTTTTTATCTAAATTAATTTCTCTGTTCCTTTTCCTCTATTTTTTTAAATGGCATTCTACTTTTCCCTTTACAGTACCTATAATTATAAACTTGTCTACTTTTTAAATGTATATTTCCCAATTAGACTACATATTTCAGTAGAGCATGGATTATCTCTATCCTGTTCACTACTGCACGCTTAGCCCCTTAGCATGTGCCTAGCTTAGACTGGGTGATTAGTGAATGAATGAATGAATGAATGAGCAGGATCCAACTGCTAAGTCATCGCTGTCCCTAACTTCTCCCACTATATGTAGTGGGAGAAACAGAGGTCATCAGCTTACACTGTTTACTAGCTGGCAGACCACTTATTTGAAAGTGTTCCTTCCTCATGCAGTGGAGAAAAAGTTACTGACTTTGCTTTGCTCAAAAGAATGTGGTGAGAATCAAATGCAGTCATGAGTGCGAAACACTCTAGGAACTGGAACAGGCTCTGCCACATCTATCATCACTTTTTATAAATTTAGGCTCAGTCATGGAATATAAAGACAAATTAATGGACAGATCAGTTAGTGAATTCAGGATTGAGTTGACAGATGATTCATAAAAATCACTTAATATTAAAAATGGAGAATGCTTTCAGTGAGTTGGGCAATTAGCATGATATATAAAGCTGGCATTTATGTTGAAAGCTAAATACCTAAATTTATTTCATTAAAAATATTTCTGAAACATTGTTCACTATGTTTATAGATTTCTTCTCTCATGTTAATTCAGAGTTTTTAAATATTAAAATTGCACTGGTACTTTATAAACTCTCTATGCATGGTATTTTGCAGAGAGAAGAAAATTTTAAAAACATACTATTTATATCTTCCCAAATCTGTTTTTATAGGATATTCTGTTTCAGCATAATTTTCATCTCTGGTTATTTATTGCTAGCCACATTTTCATAAAAACAATCTTTATTTCCTCAGAGTTCATCTGTGCCTGTATTTTATACCCCACCTAAAGTCATAATTCTTTGTTAGTGACATCCTGATTGTTTGCTGGGTAAATGATTATGATGTTGCAAACAAGATTATGACTTTAGCTGGGAAATAACCTGCAGGCATAGATGAACTCTAAGGAAATAAAGATGTTCCTCACTTAATGCAAATGTCTTTCATAGTTAAGGAAAAGGAGTGGATATTCTTAATGTTCTCTGTGAAGTGACAGTTTATGTCTACAATGAAAATAATTAATTGATTGATGGGGTTATCTTTTTTCCCCCCAAATACAAATACAATAACAGTATGGAAATATAGTTTTGAAAAGTCTCTCTATTTGCTCTTATTTCTGACAAAAGGAAGCAATCAATATGTATATAGTTATCCAGAAAACAAATATACAATTTTCTACATACAAATGCTTAGAAAGATTTCCAAGAAGGGAAATGTACTTCACCCTTATTTGAAAATTAACTAAACCTTATCTATTCAACAGAAGTTAATAATGAAAGAGATGTTTAGGGTAAATTTTTATGTAATTTCACATTTTTTAGGTAATCGTCATATTTTTATAGAATGATTATTTTGTTGTTTCTTCAAACAATGCACAGTTCTTAACTTTTGTACTTAAAAAATGAGAGCTAAAAGTGCAGGTTGGATGTGAACAGATGCATCTTTAATTTTTGAAAAGTAGTTATCACATTTACTTTCTCCTCTGACCGCCTATGCCGTAGCCCTTGGAGGGTAGCTTGTAAGTTAGGCTATTGAATCAGTTAGGATCTGGTTTCATTTTATTTTACTGGAAACACCAAACAACAATGGAATAACAGGAGTTTATTTCTCTTGTATGTCAAGTCTGGAAGTAGGCAGTCACGAGCTGGTATGAAAACTACATGTTACTATGTGATTGCCATCCTCAAGGTCACCTTGTCACCCAAGATGGTTGTGGATCTCTAGCCGTCACGATCTGCGGCTGAGGCGTCAGAGTGAGGGAAGTGTGGAGAGCAAGATAGGACCTCCCAGATGAGGCTGCTTCTTTCAAACCAGTCTTCCTGGAAGTATCGCACAACTCTTTTTTTGTGATACAACT